CAAGGAAGATGAAAGGGAAGACGACATAATTACAGCACTGTCCACGTAATTCAGTGCAGCCATTCCCACACGCAGGGCAGGCCACTAGCCTAGAGAGGTGAAAGTGGAGTGGAGTCCAAGGTTAAGTCCCAGAAGGGCCTCGCATCAGGCCTGTTAAATGTGTAGACAGCACTTCTCACACAGATGGGCGGCCTCCATTGATTAATTCTTTTTAAATTAATATTTCTTCAAGTTTCAGGAAAGTTACAAGAATAATACAATGAACACTCATACACCCTTCACACAGATTGCGCCAATTGTTAATATTTTGCTACATTTGCTTTATTATTCTCTTTCCAGGTGTGTGTGTGTTTGCAGTGGGGGGGGTGGTGGTGTGCATGTGTATGTATGTTTTCCTGAAGCGTTTGAATTTAAGTCATAGACATCTTGCCCCTTTACCCTAAATATTTCAATGTATCTTTCCTAAGAACATGGATATTCATTCACATGAGCTCATTACAGTTATCAAAATCAAGAAATATAAATTAATACAACTCTATTTTGTAATCTATAGACTTTTTTCAAAATTTTCTGGTTATCTTAATCATGCCATTTATGACATTTTTTTTTTCTATTCCAGGCTTCTATACAGAATCATGCATTGCAGTCAGTTTTAAAAATCAAAACACTGTTTCTTACTTTGTTGCCTTAAGGAATGAAGATTTTTCTTAATGGAAACGGTCCTGTGAAGTTAGGATTTGGACCTACATTTCTAATAATCATGAGAATTACTGTATATTAAGTGATAAGACACCACGCTAGGTGTATGTTTTACAAATACATTTATCTCATTCAGTCCTCCTAGCGAACATACAAGGAAGTTATTCTTGATGTGCAGCTCCAGATGCTGCAACTCAGAGAGGTTACCATGCTCTGGGTCACAGAGCTCCAAGGGGCAGTATCTATGTCCCACATCTTGCATTCTTCTGTGGCATACAAGAAGGGTGGGACTCCAGGATCCTAGAGACTAGTAGCCATGTGGAATCGATTGAAGTTATATTTGTTTCATTTCTAGTTTTTACATTTTACTGGCAAAGATCAGAAGATATTTTACATTAGAAAGTTACCTAATATATATTTTGGCTTCAGAAGATACTGCCTGGTGTCCTAATTAACTTTAACAATTAATGAAATTTGTAACAAATGTCAAATAAACTAGGTTTGTTTAATGGAATGCTGCTAGACTGCTGACCAGAAAGTGCTAAATAATGAAATCCAAAGAGCCTTGATAACCTGGCTTGTGGTACTGGACACTTGGACGCTGAGATACTCTGTGTGTTTCTGGCCTGGCTGTTAGTCCTTATGGAAACTTGAAGGCGCGTTCTAGAGTTGTGAATCGAATGGCCCTTACAAAGGCATTTGATGAGCAAGCTTTCATAATTTAGCCTGAATGGGGCTGGTGGGGGTGATTCAGTTCCAGACTTATGGTTACATCCCTACATTTGGTTTTGGCTTTGTTTATTCTTGTTTTTTTTTTTTTTTCTTTCCTTTCTGTTTTACTCCTAAATCCAGGATTTCTATGGATAATGGATTCACAAAATGAAGAATATACCATGAAAATACTAAAATATCAGTTAGGTTTCCTAAATCTTCCCCAAAATTCATAAATTACAGCTAACTATTCTAGCATTCCTACCAGTAACCCCCGTACTATTATTACTATTACTACCACTACCACCACCATCACCACCACTTGGGGAAGGAAGTGGGGGTAGTTGTGCATTTTCATTTTAAAATTTTTCAGTATTTTTCCAATATGTTATTTCTGGTTGGGGCTGCTGCTTCTCTGTAAGGTGCTTTTGTACAAAGTGTAAAGAGGTGTCCCCTGGGCCTGGTGGGGACATACTCAGTGAATGGCAGATAGCTCCCACTTACTTCCTTGGCTGCTACTCTTCTTGTACAGTGAACAACTTTTGTAACCAAAATGAAAAGTCATTTCTTCCAACATAATTATTTTCTGGAACATTATAAAAATCTCCCCTATTTTTTAACATAAAAAGTGACATTTTGACAAAGGAAATTTATAGTTCTTTTAAGAAATGATGTATGTTTTATACAAATGCTCAAATCAAATGCTCTAAATGCTCCCCTCATTTCCAGATACTGTATATGAAAATGACATATGAGACAGTATCAAAAAGTCATAGGTGACAAATAAAAATAAATGCTAGCACAAAACATTAACCAAAGATAGGTAATAAAAAGTGAAAAAAAAAAAAGGCAAACAAAAAGAAGTCTTCTGTCTTGATTTGTCCCCCAAATGAACATTTTTTTGGTTGCCTTATTTTAGCATTTATATAGGGAGAAAATGACTTTTAATTTTGGTTACGTTGCCTGAATTTCCCAGCTTTTTTCACATCTGGAATTTGTGTTGATGCCATATTTATAGTACACCCAAAATGAATAATTAAACAGCTAACTATAACGTGCATTATTGATCTATCATAGATGTTACTGCAGCAAGTTTTATGTACATTATGAAATTGAAGTAAACTTTTTTTACATTTTTAACATTTTTTTAAGTGTTCAAATTTTAAGATCAGGAAAGAAGCAGCATTCTTTTTTTCTAATTTCAGGGTAAACGTGTACAATTAAACTGTGTTGTCTCCCTTCTCACTGCCATTTTTATGAATCTCTTATCCTTCTTTGTTTGGAAATAGGAGGTAAAACTCCTTTTGGTTTTGAAGAGACTGTACTTGCCCCTGTGAGGGCAGACATGTCACTATAAAATACACAACCTCTGAGACTTGATTTGCAGTAAAATGTTGAGAACAATGTTAGGAAGTTCTTCTGACTCTAAATTAACTTGCTGACTCTAAATTAATCATATCCCCTAGTCGTTTGAGACTCAGTGCCCACCAAGTCCTGTGTAGTTCTTCCCTTTGTTACCTCAATTTGGAATTGTTAATCAACCAAGAGCATATAAGAATGTTATTAGTGGTGGTGATTGTGATGGTAATGGTAATGGTGATGGTAATGGTGGTGATTGTGACGGTAATGGTAGTAATAGTAATAATAGTACTGGGGCTACTAGTAGGAATACTAGAATAGTTAGCTGTAATTTAGGAATTTACGAAACCTAACAGATATTTTGGTATTTTCATTGTATATTATTCATTTTGTGAATCCATTATTCATAGAAATCCTGGATTTAGGAAGCAGTGTAACTACAGAGCCTGAAATGTGTATGTATGTGTGTGTATGTGTATGTGTGTATATGTATGTGTATGTGTATACACATATATGTGTATGTGTATGTGTATATGTATGTGTATGTGTATACATACATATACACACATACATGTATATCCTTAAAGTCGTTTTTATGATTTTACACTCATATATATGTGTATTCTAGCATTCCTACTAGTAGCTCCAGTACTACTGTTACTATTACTACCACTACCACCACCATCAGTACTATTATATGTGTGTGTTTTATAGGCTATTACTAATCACCCACACATATATATGTGTATATATATACACACGTACGTATTCATATATACACACCCACACACACATACTTTTTTGTGTTTGTACGTGTATATTTTGTTTGTTTGCTTTTGAGACGGAATCTTGCTCTGTTGCTCAGGCTGGAGTGCAGTGGTATGATCACCACTTACTGTAACCTCTGCCTCTTGGGCTCAAGCAGTTCTCCCAAGTAGCTGGGACCATAATTGTACACCACCATGCCTGGCTAATATTTTAAGTTTTTTGCAGAGATGGGGATCTCCCTGTGTTTCTTAGGCTGGCCTCGAACTCCTGGCCTCAAATGATCCTCCCACCCTGGCCTTTCAAAGTGCTAGAATTAAAGGTGTGAGCCACCGTGCCTGGCCCTGAATGTGATTTTATATATGAATTCCAAAATGAATCTTTAAACATACACATTTAATACTATGAAAGTGAGTAAACTAATCATTCATCTATAAAAACAGATAGAAACCAAAAATGCAAAACCAAGATGTATGTCTTTTGTAATGCGCCCGGAGGTTTTGTCCTTTGAAAAGGCCATGGAAGAGTTAAGGGTGGTGGGAAGGCAGGAAAGACTTCCGTCTTCACAGTCTTGTGCATACGCAGCTCCTAGTCCAGTTAAAGCCTTCTTATCCAACCTGAGAAGGAACGAAAAGTGTTCAGTTCATCAAAAAAGTCAGCTAGTGTAGGAACCCATACAAATGATAATCATATGGCTAAATAGTTTTATGTTAATGTGAAGCATAAGATGTGCATGCTTTGGTCAGTGTTCTGGGGTAGAACTGAAGCCTTCCCTTTAAGTATGGACACAGTAATTACAGGTCAGCACTGTCTTTCTTGGGTAAATCACACATTTAATTTCTCATCTTTATTAAAAATTTATCACATCTTCATTTTGGCATATTTATTGGTGAACATAAAGATGCTTGTGGAACAATCTGAGTGCAGAATCCTTCTAGAATGCTATGATTTTTAAAGTCATTTATAATTACATGAGATGATTACATTAAAAAATACAGCTGGATAAACTGGTTTGGAGATAAACACAGGTGGCTCTAGGACAGCCATGCGTGGAGCAGAACAGCACAGGTGTCTACTATAGACAGCCTCTGGCTGCTGTTAGTAAGTGCATGTTGGGCAGCAGACAGTATGTGTCTCAGAGAGACTGGAAACTGTCCGTTAAAAGAGTGTCTAGAATATCTAGAAAAGATAGAAAGATCCTAAGCAGAGACTGTATGGTTCTTGGTAGCTGTTCTGTGGCTCATAATTTACATAAACTCTTTTAGTGGTTCTCAGATCTAATGTATGATCTCTTTGCCTGCCTGGGAATTGTTTTTTTAAAAATATCATGGATATAGTTCAGTGATAGCATGAATTTGTTGTTCACAAGTCAGTGTACATGGTGGGTGAGTTCCTCATTTTTATTATAAGTAAACCAAAATGCATCGCAGAGTAAGAATCCATAGTATAAGGTATCAGGGAGAAACTTAAATTTTAAGAAGGGTTTTATTTGTTAGAAATAGTTTATACGTGATTTTAGTAAGGTAACTATGGAGACTCCTTCTCCCATGACAGGAGGAGGAAAGATCAAGAAGCTTGGCATGGCACTTGTTTCTTCGTCCGTTTGTAGTTCTTTTCATCAGGGCCAGATGGGTTGAAGTATGAGGGTGTTCGTGCTTACAGGACAAGCTCTTTCCTTTCTCATTAGTACCCTGTTCCATTGCCTAGAGAGAGAGAAACACGCAAGATGAGGAAGGACACGTCCCAGACACATAGGCCTATACTTTAGCTGGGTTATTATGTCTTCTTGACGTGGATAGTCCAGAATTTCTGAAGTGTGATTGCTTCATCAAATATATAGTGTACAGTGTTCTGTCCATTCATTTGTAAAATATAGCAAAGCTTCTCGATATTGTTGGTTTAAAAAATCTCTTTTACCGTGTACATAGGCTTGAATCTACCTTGTTAAAAATTTTGTGCTTGTGATTATTAGGAAAATATGCCTAGTGTTCATAAAAGTGTTTGTGTATGCCCTGGCACGGAATATAGATATACACCAACTAACAATAGCTATAAAAATGAAATCTTGCACAGAGCTGTGCCCTGCCTTCCTAGTCAGCAGGAATACTGCTTTTGGGGTTGAAGGGAAGCTTTCCCACTGGGGAGACGTGTGGGGAGTATGTGGGGGTAGCAGCTTAAGAAGTCGGGAGGGAGAATTGCTGCAAATTTTAGTGTAATACTTAATGTTGAAATAAATTCCATCCCATCATAAAGATTAGCAGGCTGTGTAATTCAATTTAAAATTGGTTGGCGTGTCCTGACTATTATAAAGCCTTTTCTTTTTTTGTTGTTGTTTTATCACCATTCCATTATTTTATTTCGTATACCAATACAGAATGGAGCATACAGCCACCCATACAGTCTCTTTCCACATTTGCATCCATTGGAGAAATTGTTGGGGAATGTAAGAGTTTATCTTAAAATGAGTTAAGAAAATACTTGCTCAATTGAATGCCTCCTTGTTTTCTTTCTTTCTTTCTTTTTTTTTTTTTTTTAAACACAAAATGAATTTCTTCTGGGCAAGCAACCATTGAGAGTGAAATTCTTTTAAAAGCATTTGCTGGACACAGGGCTTGGTTCTCAAAATTCCAGCGTTAGCACTTATCTACAGTATCATGGGCATTACAGTGCCATTGAAAATCAAGATGAAGTAGCTTATGTTAATGCAAGACTGACAGACCCACATCTGATGGCAATTACCCATACTGGGGGGTTAATAAATGTTCTTAGAATTACTGTCTTTATTTTCTTTATTGCAAGAAAAATGGGCAGCTTCCTAAGCCGTGCCTCCTGCTTCTTGCTACCAGCCTTGGTGACTTGCTAATTAACTGTTTTGGCTCCAGTGCTTCATGGGTTCTTCTGAGTTTAATATTCATGTTAGGGAAATGCTACGTCCTTTAGCCAAAGTAGTAGAAAATATTAAATTAAATTCAGCAAACAGTACCCTTTAAGAACAAGAAATGAAGACCTATAGACATAATAATAATGATACTCGGATGCCTCAGAAGAGTGTCTGGAAAAATGAATGCACACTGTTTTTTCCTTCTAGAAGAGAGCGAGCTTAATTTTTATTCCTGTTTTGAAGGGGTTTCAGCACAGGTGTGGCAGAGAGAGTTCATCACATTTGCCAACTCTGATCAATCTAAAGTGGCTCCCTGAAGCACTTTGTTAGGAAGGATCCTCATGCTATATCCAAACTCAGTGGGAAAGATGTTATGATTTATCAGCAGTGTCTCTCATGCTATAGGGTAGGAGTGTGGTTACTCATACCATGCATTTGCTGTGCCTGCTATAGTGTCATTCATCTTTGTTCATATTCATGCTCTATGACTGTGGTAGGCAGAAAATTGCTGTGATGGAAATGTATGCCTACTTTATTTTAACTCTTTAGAGTCCGTCTAGACTTTGTAATATCTCCAATACAAAGTTCTTGAAATGACTGATTTTGGCTTGATGGGATTTTAAAGTTTTCTTCACATTAAAGGCTATTCTGTGTCTGTTCCAAGAGGTTCTTAGCTGTCTATGAGGCAAATTGGGGGTAGTGCATTAGTAAGGTTGTCAAGAAGACAAGAAAACACATACAACTTTTGGGGTCCTATAGGATTTAGGAAGCAAATTAACTTTGGTTTATGATGCTGAATCTATAGCAAGAATTAAGGTTGTACAACCACTCTGATGGTGGTTAGCTTTTGAAGCCTTTTGCATACCTACTTGGAAAGGAATTCAGAGATCAGGAGAGACAATTCAATTCAATTTATCCTGTTATATCCCCCAAATCTTGGGCACCTCAGTTTTCTCTAGCCCCTAGTTCCTATCTCCTAAGTCTGACTGCCCATCAGAATCTCTCAGGCAGGTGGTTAAGCAGTCAGATTCCTGGAATCTAGTTCAGACTTATTAAATCAAATTCTCTACTGATAAGTCCTCATAATTGGAGCTTTAATGAGCTCTTCCCTGGTTCTCAGGCAGCCACTGCACTACCACCTTCTTGCTTATGGATAAAATGGATTGCCAGGATTAGGGATATATTCTGTATACTCCTATTATCCTAAACCAGGCCATTCTTTTCCACTCTCTTTTCATGATGACTTTTGTAGACTTCATTTAGCTCATCTGTAAAAGAGGATAATAGATTTTGCCTCATAAGGTTACTGTAAAACGTATAAAGGTTTTTTGTTTGTTTGTTTTGAGACAGAGTCCCACTCTTTCGCCCAGGCTGGAGTGGAGTGGTACAATCTCGGATCACTGCAACCCCTGCCTCCCAAATTCAAAGGATTCTCCTGCCTCAGCCCCCTGAGTAGCTGGGGTTATAGGCGTGTGCCACCATGTCTAGCTAATTTTTGCATTTTTAGTAGAGATGAGTTTCACCATATTGGCCAGGCTGGTCTTGAACTCCTAACCTCAGGTGATCTGCCCACCACGGCCTCCTAAAGTCTTGGGATTACAGGCCTAAGTCACTGCGCCAGACCTAAAGTTTTTTAGGATGGTGCCTGACAGAGGTAAATATTGGATGTGTTGGTTCCAAATCTCATAATTGTCATCATCATTTGATTTCATTTACAGGGACACTAAGTATCCTTGCCAGAGGCAGCAAATCAAATTATAATCTCTTACCAGGCTGTTGTAAGAAGCAGAAGGTATACAAAGAGCTTTGTTTGGTTGAAACACTTACTTTTTGAATTTATGAACATGTAAACATAGAACAGTTAGGAGGCTTTTGACTGTAAGAAACAAAATGCTGTAAGCAACAAGGAATTTAGTCTCTCATTAAAAAAAAAAATATCCAGGCACAAAGCAATTTTCAGCATCTGGTAATTCAGGGGCTCAGTGATGATACCAGGAATTCAGGTTCTTTCAGTATTCCTCTCACATGGTGGCCTTGTCCCAAAGGTTTGAGAGTGACTGCTGCCGAAGTTCCAGTTGTAGCATGAAGTAATGACAGTGTTCACTGGAAAAACAAGGTCATTTCTTCCAGTATGTCTCTTTGTATGTAGGTGATGACCATTTCCTTGAAGCCCATCCACTGACTTTAATTCATGTTTCGCTGTCCAGGATTGGGTGACCGCACCTCGTTAAACCAGTCATTGGCAAGGGAAATACAGGTCCTAACTAATCAAGATAAGCTCGTCTGGGTCTATGAATAAGTTTTCCTTTCTGGAGCACTCGGCTTCCCAGGGAAAGATTGAATAAACATGAATAAAACTGGAGGCTGTGCTGTTGAGGAAAGGTGGGGTGAGGATTTGAGTGTGCCATCAATAGCATCTGCTTAATGAGTCTTGTAACGAAGTACCTTTGCATGGCACCTTGAGGAAAGTAGCCTATGGTCTTCCTAGAATGGAGTCCCTTGGGCATGGCAGGGGACAGCACTGTAGTGAGCCTTGGCCAGTGACTGAGATAGGCTTGGGTAACATTTTAAAATATCATGGCTGTCATCTTGTTTTCTACTTTCATCCTGAAATCTTTACTTTTCTTGTTTCCTTTTCTTCTATTCCTTCTTCTCTTTTCTTTCCTTCTTCCGTTTCCTCTTTTGTCCATGTTATACCAGGATCCATGTGTAGGAGAGACTTCTAGCCACCTGTGTCCCTTTCCCATAGAAATCATCTCAGAAGAGAAGATGACAGGTTCCTATTATGTGGTCAGATTCCAAAGTTCTGAGAGGCTTAACCTATCATCACCTGTCATGTTTCATGGCTGTTTGGAGCAGTTTAACCTTCTGTCTTATCCATCTAGAGTTGAATATTTTAGTTCCTGAAGATCACATATTTGGCATATTGAGATTCTGAAGATAGTGTTGGAACTATACTTTTAATAATTCAAGCTAATTATCTGTCACCATCAATTGGCCACCAAGAGATGGAAAGACACTTGGTTGATATCTGAGCCCACTGGTAGAGTGTAGCAAGAATCCCTGGCTAGACCTCTTGAAAGAGAGATGTGCACAGAAGACAAGGCCTGACCAAAAAAGAGAAAGAAAAACAGTCATCTGTATTATTTTAATGGTTTTGAGCTCATTTCCGTCTATAGAGGAACTAGGCTTAACCATGGGTGGACTGAGGACTCCTTCTGTCTCTGGACTAGAATAAAAGTAGGGCAGGAGGCCCCCATTTTCCCTCCTTGCTCGAATAATGCTGGTCACTGAGATCTTATCTCTCATTAGAGATGCAAAGAAAAAAATGGAAGAATGTGTTTTTTTAAGGTCATGGCCCACTCAGACCTGGAGAACAGAATCTTTCAGGATAAAGCCTGGAAATTGATTTACTTTCTTTTTTTTTTTTCCTTTTGAGACAGAGTCTCACCCTGTTGTCCCAAACTAGAGTGCAGAAGAATGCAGTGGCGTGATCTTGGCTCAGCATAACTCTGCCTCCAGGGTTAGAGCCATTCTCCCACCTTAGCCTCCCGAGTAGCTGGGATCACAGGCGTGCACCACCACACTTCGCTAATTTTTTGTATTTTTAGTAGAGACAGGTTTTCACCATATTGACCAGGCTGGTCTTGACCTCCTGACCTTGGGTGATCAGCCCGCCTCCACCTTCCAAAGTGCAGGGATTATAGGCATGAGCCACTGCGCCTGGCCATGATTTACTTTTTAACTTGTACATAATTTGGAAGATCAAACGGGTTTGAGAACTACTGGCCTAAAGTGACTATCTTAGACCTTATAATCATTAAAGGGTTTGTACAATACAGGTTGTAGGGCAGTGATTTTTCCAAGGGCCCTGAGAGGCTAGAAATATGGTGGTGTGGGGTAAAACTTTATCCCTCCCTCCTTCCCCCAACAACAACAGCAGACCTAATTTCAGGTTTTGTTTGTTTGGTTTTTTTTTTTGTAAATTCAAACTTCTTCATAAACTTTTCTTTAAACAAAATTTTTCCTTCACCCCACTTGCCCCAGTATGCAAAGAGAAATGATCCGTTTCTGGGCCAAGACACAGGGTGCCATGGCTTCCTAATGTCATTATCCAGGCCATCTTGGCAGAGGTGAGAGAAAAATCCCATCAAGGGCACTGAATGTCTGAGGTCACATGAACAACATATGGAAAGTCAATGGTGGCCAAGTAGAATGACCATGGAAGGGGACCCTGGAACCAAGGCGCATGGCCCTAGTCATGAGGACATCTTCCCCCTCAGGACTTCTGGGAGCCTAATGACAACAGAGTCCTCACAGGACACTGTTACTACTGCCTATTTGGTGTCTCCTCAGTGAAGTCATTGTGTTGTGGCATACCTCAACTCCCCAGAGTCCAATTCCCTATAATAATGAGAATTTTTAAGGAGACAAAAGTAGAGTCTAAGAAAATAAACAAATATGTTAGCTTTGTTGAACTATTCCAAACCACGCCCAGACAGTAACCACAAGGGCAACAACAGGAATTGATGTTCAGAGTATACACACATTTAGCCCAATCTTGCTATTGGATTGCATTTTAATCTCCTCAAAGTTGCTTCAACATTAGACCATTAGTAGCTTGCCTTCCGAAGGTAGAAAATTGAATATTTTAGAAAAAATTTTCCTTACAAGGGTAGATTTTTAAAAAATATTATCCAGTTAATTGTCAGCTAATCAATTATAGTCGATTGCACTGAGTGTTCTAATGAAAATTGAGATTTACAAGGAACTATGTGCTTGATATACTGTTCTTAACACCTCTGGGGAGGGGTGTGTGTGCACGTGCACATGTGGTGTGCATGCATGTATTTCCTGCCATCTTACATTGTGCTGTACATGATCAAGGAAGTTTATTTCTTAGCTCTCTTTACTGTTCATTGATAAAGGGCTAGGCAGACAAAATATTGACTGATCCCCCTCAAAGACACCTTCCTGGATTGCCGTATCTTGGTAATTTTCTCTGTTACTATCTTTTATAGGACCTGCTAATTATCTTCCTTGCAGTTATAATCTGAGTTATGTTAGCAGGTTATTTACTTCTTTATTATCTGTTACTCCCACATGAATATAAGTTCCATAAGGCCAGAGACCTTGTTCTGTTTGCTGCATTATTATATTCCCAGCGAGCCCCATCATACTGCCAGTCACATCCTAAGACCCCGGGGAATATTTCTTGGAGGTCGTAGAAAGACTGTGATCATTTCATGGCATTCTGGGGCCCTATTTCATTATCAAACCTCATCCTGACTTTTGAGAGAGTCAGAAGCTTAGTGGGATTTAATGGAATCTAATGGGATTTCTTTTATCCAATGCTACTGGATTAGAAAATTAGACTGAGACCCGACTTCGCAAAACCCTTGAAATGAGCCAGAATGTAAAGAAAAATGAAGGAAGAGAGAGTTAAACCCTAAGTGGGTGAATCTGAGAATGTGGGGTTGAAAGTGAAATGCCACATGACAGAGTTACAAAGTAAAAACAGTTTAACCTGAAGAACTGAAATCTGGCCACACTTTCCTAGTAAGGGATCAACGTTACAAGCTTTGGATGGGTTTGAGTAGAAGAGATTGGAGTTCTCAGTTTTAGAGAATTAAGTTAAACCCTGCAAAAATACCTTCTTTTTAAACAAGTGTATCTAATCTCCAGTTTCTGGTCAAAACACTCGAAAGTAATTCAATTTTAAAAAATAAATAAAAGTAGCCTTTTTCAAAGAAAGTCACCCTTCATTTTCACCATTTAAGAGTCAATGATCTGGGCCTTAGCTTCCACTCTGAGGAAAATAATCTTAGTGAAAAATGAAAGCTGGCATTTTAGAGACATGTAGAAATGAAATACTAGGCTAGAGATGAGCCTACATATTATAAAAAGATACCAATCTGGAAAATCTTTTGCTCTCAACCTTGAGAAACCACATTGGTGGTATTGATATGAAAAAGAGGTGCTGTATTGGCTGAGGATAAGCAAATGTAGCCCCTTAGCTACTGATGAAAATAAAAGTAAAAGTTGTGATGTTCGTATCATGGAAGAACTTTACCATTGAGTTTCATTAAAGGTACCTCAGGGATAGTGTCAGAGACAGAAGAAAAACTTGGAAGAACAATAGCTAGACCCAGAGAGATAATTTCTATCATCTTAAATTACTCCCCAATTTAAGTTCATGGTTAAGATGGCTAAATAGATGCCTTCCATGAGTCAAATGAAAAAAAAAAATGGCCTTAAACCATGATAGTACAGGTTAAAAACAAAAGAACATCCTAACAATGAAATTTGATTAGCCCTCTGTGTCTATGAAATAAGAAGAAATGAGTGACTATATGCCTGGGTGTTACTGCGTGATTCTTGCTGGTAGTGGCAGATGAATGTTAGGACCCAGGATTCATGATTGTAGGCACAGTCTTTAGAAAAGCTTCTTAGCTTCTCTGAACCTAAATATTCTGATTTGCAAAGTGAATCCTTTGAATCTCTGACCCGGTGATTATGTGATATGGTGGAGAAGGAGAGGATTGGTCTGCAAAATCAGAAGTTCTATATTGCAACTAAGTCATCGGGTGACCTTGGAGGAATCCTTTTAGCCTTGCTAGGTCTTAGTTTCCCATTCCATGGAAGGAATGATTCAAATCTCTGAGGACCCTGCTAGGTTGGAATTTCGGTAAGCCTGGAATTAGAGGATAAAAGGTCAGGAGCCCCCTGCTGTCCCTTGATTTTCTGTTGGAAGCAAAAGGATAGAACTAGCCTTGCACATAAATTAGCATGGATTCTTTCATCTGACCCAGTGGCTTGGGGGCCTGAGAAGATGCACACACGTGTCCTGTTCGGGCCTGGGCAGTAGGCTCATTTATAAAGAGTGGCCTCTGCAAAGCCAGCTGTCAAAACAGCAGTGATTTTCCTGAGAGGCCGACGGGTGAAAACTTTCAGATGAAGGGATACCATGAAGAAATACAGGCAGCTTCCTCAAATAATGAATGGCTATTCCATTAACTCCATCTATTGATTACTCCTCTGAGCTACCGGGAACAAAGGCTGGAAAAATCTTTAAGTGCATAGTGTCAACCATGCAGCAATAATTCGCTTCTCTTTGAAATTGTAACATTATTTGTGTGATGTATATAGTTCATTTATTCATTTATTCATCCATTTATTTGTTCACTCCTTCAACAAAATGGAGCCCTTACTACAGACGGACCAATTTCTTTGCCCCCTTTTGCCTTTCCCAGTAAAAAAAGCCACTGTATAACAGGTTTTGAAAATCAGACTTAGTTTATTAATAGAAAATTAACAGTATACTTTGTGATGTATATAATGGGTGTCATCCTTGAATAAAATAAAAATAGGATTTATAACACTTAAAGGTCATTTTGCATCCAAAATTGAGACCCTCGCTAGTCATATCCACATGATTCTCAGGCAATATAGAATTATTTCTTCATTCATTCATCTATTTGATAAATAATGATTGAAACTTTCTTGGAATACAAAGATGAATTTGGTTCGAACCATCCTGAGGGCCATAGTCAAGTGGGAGAAAGATAACTCATTAGACAAATCCTCATTGTGTGAACTGCAAGCACTTGGCAAGCTCAGAGCTCTGGATACAAGTGGGGAAGTGGCTGGCAGGACCAGATCACAGAGAGTTCTACACACCATACCATGGAGCATTTGGCCCTTTGTCTGTGGGCAATAATAGAGAATCTGGGAAGATGCTAAGTTGGGTGAGTAAACCCT